AATTTTTGTTTAAAAATTTTCTAAGACTGACTCAAGCAGCAGGAAACTTATGTAGGCCAATGTAGCAGAGACTGCTAATTGCCTTCCAACATCCAGTCTCCCCTTCTGTATTGACAAAGGCTTGAAATCTCAGCTGGACATAAGGTCATCCAGCTAGAGACATTTCCCAGCCACCATGTAGGCAGGTGTGCCCATGTGACTAAATTACAGCAAATGGGATTTGAATAATAGAGCTGATGTCACATCTTTAAAAGGGAGCTGCTTGGCCTCCAGTTCTTTGTTTCCCCTCCCAAAGGCCTGGAATGCAACAGGATGAGAGTGAGTCAGCTGCTACCATAGGAAAGATAACGCCCCCAGGTGGTGGTGAAGCAAAAAGATGACTGGAACCTGAGTTTCCAGATGACCTAATGGATGAGAGCTGCCTACCCTTATCACTGCCTGCCACCTAACAACTCAGACTTTTATATGAGAAAGAAATAGGCTTTCTTGTTCAAACCACATAGACTTGGTTAAAGCTGAAAAATTAATTTCCTAATTAGTAGAATGAATGGTCATGAAAGAAAAATGTAAAGTTCTCAGGTAAGCCTGGGAGAGTAGGGTTTAGTTAAATCAAGAAAACATGTGCTTGTCAGGGCACCTGGGTGGCTCAGTAGGTTAAGCATCTAACTGTTGGTTTCAGCTCAGGTCATGATCTCAGGGTCATGAGATCGAGCCCCGGAGTAGGGCTCTGCACTCAGGGCGGAGTCTACTTCAGATTCTCTCTCCCTCCCCTTCTTCCTCTGCTCCCCGCCCTCCCCGCTCATGCTCTCTCTCTCAAATAAATAAAATCTTTTTAAAAAAAGAAAAAGAAAATGTGATTCTCTTAAGACTGTAGTGTAGAGGTTGCTTTTGGGCAACCAACTTGAACAATGGAATCTTGAGTGAGGTAGAAGGGCCCACAGTGACCACCAGGCTGAATACAAACACACCCATTAGGCGACCCACCTCAAAACATCCATAAGCCCTGGCTGACCAATGGGTTACTTACACCTGGATACAGGCACCAAAAAGGGAAAATTCCATATGTTCCCATACCTCCTCACCTTCCCCCTTAACTCCAGCCCCCCACCACTGCCTCCTTGCGGACAGTCTCTCCCTTGCTGTCCCGCCTGCCATTCCTTTGTAGTGTGTTTAGTAAACTCCTTTGTTCTGCCTTGGGTGAATTTTACCACCCTCGCCACCAAACTCTACCTGATCAGGTCACCCCACATTTGGTGCCCCCCCATCTGATCAGAATACCCCTACATGCAGTTTGTTCCATGACCCTGGGGCTTCGCTATGCCCAGTGAAAAGATTTTGGTGAAAGAGAAATAAGAAGTTGAGGGAGGAAAAACACAGTGGAGTGTGAAGATAAGACTTGGATAAAGAATGAATTATCTGGGGACGCCTGGGTGGCTCAGTTGGTTAAGTGGCTGCCTTTGGCCCGGGTTATGATCCCAGAGTCCTGGGATCGAGTCCCACATCGGGCTCCTTGCTCAGCAGGGAGCCTGCTTCTCCTTCTCTCTCCTTCTGCTTGTGCTCTGTCAAATAAATAAAATCTTTAAAAACAATAAAAGAATGAATAATTTGAGAGGATTCTTATACTGAAGTCTCAAAAGTTACTAATAAAAGTGCTTTTCCCATACACCAGTATTTCTCTACCTTGTTTTAGGTCGTGGATTCCTCTGCAAATCTAATGAAAATGACTCTTCCCCCAGAAAACTCCTAAGTATAATTAGAAAACTCCCACATCTGGGATGCCTGGGTGGCTCAGTCGGTTAAGCGTGTGCCTTCCACTCAGGTCATGATCTCAAGGTCCTGGGATCAAGTCCTGCATTGGGCTCCTTGCCCAGCGGGGAGCCTGCTTCTCCCTGTGCCTGCCGCTCCCCCTTATTGTACTCTCTCTGACAAATAAAATCTTTAAAATAATAGAAAAATAAAAACTCCCACATCTTAAAACAAGATGCAAAAAGCTCACTAGGCATGATTTTCATTTATTTTATTTTATTATTTTTTTAGAGAGGGAAAGAGGGCATATGAGTGAGGAGTAGTGGGGATGGAGGGCGGAGGGGGAGAGGGAGAGGGAGAGAATTTTTTTTTAAAGATTTTATTTATTTATTTATTTATTTGATAGAGAGAGAGTGCAAGCAGGGGCAACAGCAGAGGGAGAGGGAGAAGCAGGCTCCCCGCTGAGCAGAGAGCCTGATGTGGGGTGGGGCTCGATCCCAGGACCCTGAGATCATGACCTGAGCTGAAGGCAGTCGGGCTTAACCGACTGAGCCACCCAGGCACCCTGAGGGAGAGAATCTTAAGCAGGCTCTACGCCCAATGCAGAGTCCAAAGCGGGGCTTCATCTCATGACCCTGAGATCATGACTTGAGCGGAAATCAAAGGTCAGCCGCTTAACCAACTGAGCCACGGAGGCACCCCCTAGGCATGCGTTTTAGAAAGGAAATTCTTTGGCTCCTTCCAAGATCTAAATCAGAATCTCTAAGCATGAAACACAAAAGTCTACATTGTCAACAAGTACCTCAAGTTCACACCTTAGAAATATTGTTCTAAAGCTAACTCCTAAACCCCAAATTAAAGACTCTTCTTTTCACATGGGAAAATCCAATTGAAATACGTTTTACCAAGATCATTCTAGAGCCTGAGTTTCTGCTTCAAGCCTGGCGCTTCTTGAATCACTCTTCATTTCAGTTTAGAAACAACACTTGTGGCAAGTTCAAACACAACTTAAGACAAAAATTGAAACTGTTCTGGGGAGCCTGGGTGGCTTAGTTGGTTAAGCGTCTGACTCTTAATTTTGGCTCAGGTTATGATTTCAGGGTCGTGAGATCAAGTCCCGCCTCGGGCTCTGCACTGGGCGTGGAGCCTGCTTAAAATTCCCTCTCTCCCTCTCATCCCACCGCCCCACCTCTTAAAAAAAAAAGGAAGAAGAAAAAGAAACTATTCTAACAAATAGTAACAAGACTGCATGTGGATGCCAGTAGGAGTTACAGATCTATTTCAGAATCTGACCTTGTCCACAGAATAATGCACATGCATATGATGTTGCATATTATTTCAGGGAGTTTGAAGATTGACTTCAACTCCCCCCCAACCCATATACTCACCCTCAATTCAAGAAATCCAGTTTTACAAGGTTTGAAAGAAAAAAAAAATGGGCTAAAAGAATAAATAAAACCATTTTTTTCCAAATACAAAAGTGAACCTACAAAGAGTGACTTAAGACATTTTCAATTCCAAAGAACTACAGTAATGGTTTTCTGCATCTTTAAAAACTTATTAAGAATGACATGAGGGGCACCTGGGTGACTCAGTCGTTTGAGCATCTGCCTTCTGCTCAGGTCATGATTCTGGGATCCTGGGAAAGAGCCTAGGTCGCGCTCCCTCCTCAGCAGGGAATCTGCTTCTCTCTGTCCCTGTACCTTTCAGCCCTGCTTGTGTTTTCTCTCTAGCCCTGTTCTCTCTCAAATAAATAAAATCTTAAAAAAAAAAAAAAAAAGGAATGACCTGAGTTATCATTTCTTTTTGTAAAGATTAATAAACTCCTCCCTGGCAATATGCCATATAGATAATGCTAGCCAAATATGTTTAATACCAAACTGTGCCATAAACATCTTTTAAAATTTTATAATCAGAATAACCAACACTATTTAAAATTCAAGATATTCAGCTTGATCTCAGTTACGTAAAAATAATGCATAGAGACAAAGACAGCAAGTGAATAAGCCAAAACTCCCCTGTCACCTCTGAGCGCCGGACCTGTGATGTTTTACACTTCCTTCTACTTTTCTACACTTTCCAAGTAGACAAGAAGGACCTCTACATACACAGGAGTTTGGTGTAGGGATAAAATGCCACAGTGGCTGTCCACACCCCCAGGTTCTAACTTTGGTTTGGCTACTGTGGAAATACGTCCACAGGCAAAATCACTTGATCAGTTTCTCCTTTCACTTCCGACATTACACAGAAGATTATCTAGGCCAATACTTCTCCAAAGTCATAACTTCCTAGATATTTTTTTCTGGATATTGTGACTTCACCCAAGCCCTGTCTTCCCAAGCACTGCGGAAGTACCAAGGACTTGAGGACTTTCTCTTGCTGTGGATCCTAAGCCAGCTTTGTTATTTTATTTTATTTTATTTTTT